GCTCCCACCGCCACCAGCCCCGCCGCTTCCTAGCAAGCTCACTGCTGCCCAAAAGCTCCCAGCCAGGGAACTCCACCAGCCTATTTATCTGAGCCCCGGGAAAGCTCCGTGACGTAGCTGCCCATATATGGACAGACAAAGCCCAGCCGAAGGGGCGCGACGTCACAATGGAAGCTCCTCACAATGGAACATTAGAAAGCAGGAAGCGGGCCGCAGCCGCGGCGCGGCGTCCGCAAAGCTCGCGGATCTTGAAAAAAGAGAGAGAAACAGAGGGAGAGAAGAAAGGACAGTTCGAGAGAAGAGAGGGAAGAGGGATGCAGCTGAATGCAAAGCGCAAAGCGCGCAGCGCGGGTTTGAAAAAGCCATAGCCGTCTCTCTGTTTATCTTGGATCTGCACTAGGAGCACGCTCTAGGACAGCGAGGGGGGTCGCGGGAGGGGGTGTGTGTGTGTGGGGGGGTTGTTTGCTAGTGGCCTCCAACACCCTTGGCGGGAAGAATGAGAAATGAAAACCTCGGGCCGCGTCCCTTGGCAGCCTGGGAACTTCTGGGGAACCCGGAAGGCGCGCGCTCCTGCTCCGCTCCCGCCGCTCCCCTCGCGCCCAGGACCCCGGGAGGCAGGAAGCGCGTCCCTCCAGGAGGACTCCAGCGCGTCGGGGATGCCTGGTCCCCGATCCTGAGAACTTTTGTACCGTCCTCTCTCTGATTCGCCGCCCACACCCCTGCCTCTCCCTGTGCCCCTGACCCTGCGCTGACTCCTGGCTGAGCGCCTTGGCGGGGAGAGTCGTAGCTGCAAAGAGGCTGCGCGGGAGGCGAGAACCACGCACCTTTGAGGTTGGGGATGTGTGGTTTTGTTGGTGAAGAAGGAAAAATGAAGTTGAGCGGATAGGGAAAACACGTGCGCCAAACCCTCGGTTAATTCCCTAACGGTTCCCAAGCACCCCCTTTGGCCATGGAGGCCCTAGCAGACCCGGGCGCAGCCGCTGTCTGTTGCTGCCTGGGAAGGGCCCGCCAGTGAGTTGCCGCAGGATCTCGCTGAACTCACAGCCTGACACGACGGGGGCCTCCCGGCGGCCTCCCCTAGCCTCTGCCCTAACCGTCACCCTCTGCTGGGCTGCCCCTGGCGCCCTGCAGCCGAGGGCCGTCTGCTCGCCGACCCGCAGCGCTGTCACCTCCCGTAGCAGAGGCAGATCCCGGGGGCGGCTGATATGTTCCCCGAGGCCTGCTCCCGGAGCGCGCGGCCAGGCCCGGGAAAGGGGGAGGAGAGGAAGGGAGCGTGGGGAAGCGACCCCGAATCACACCGGCTCGGCGTGGGAGGATTCCCTCCTCGGTGGCCGCGTGGGTGCGGTGAATCCCGTGTCCCCCGCTGGGGAGTCGGGTTGGGGGAGACGTGCATTTCTCAGGGGGAGTAGGAGTGTTGACAAGGAGGAACAGAGGATCCCCGGGCCTCATGCCGTGGGAGGGCCACGCGGGCCGGGGAGCGCGTGGGAGGAACTCCCGAGCTGCACATCGCGGTGGGGGTGGATGGCAGCCTCGCTCTCCTCCCCGCCACTGCACTCGGTGGAGAACCGGGAGTGGGAGGGGCCAGTCTCCCCCGGATCTTCTCAGGTTCTCAGGAAAGGAGGGATTCCCGCCGCCAGCGAGCCCCTGCTCCCCCGCCCCGGCCGCCCTTCCCGCCGGGCTCCCCACACCTATGGCGGGGAGGCGCTGCGCCCCCGGGCTCTCCTCCGCCCGCGCCGCGCTGGGAGCGATTGCTCCGCAGCGGTCCCGGCTCCGGCCGGAATTAGGGC